TTTCAAAAATTATTTTTAGAGATTTTTTTTTAACTTAATTGAATTACAAGTTTTACGAAATGGTAGTCTAATTAAAAATAACATTTTTGGACTTACAGAATGAAATCTAAGATACTATCAAAAGACTTTTGCGCATAGATTATGTAAGTGCATTAGTACCTAAACCAAGAAAAAAAGAACTGCTTATGAGCAGCATGTGAGCATAAGCACAGGTGATCCCTGGTGGTGAAGCATTGTTGCAGAAGAATGACATCCCAAATGGAGCACTGAGGCAAACAGTATTATCCGGTTTTTAGCACTATGAGGTTGCCCAGATGTTCAGCAATACATTTTTGCTGAGGAAGCAAGTTTTATGATTGCTTAACAAGATCTCAGACTTTCCTAGCAGGGAGCTGAGTTCAGCCCTGGTATGAGTTGGTGCCACTGTCACACACTCGGGGTCCTTGGCTGTGTCTATCCTGGGATTTTGACCTTGTGTGTCAGGTTATTTCTGCAGTTGATGCACTTTTGATAGTACTGAAATTTTAAACTGAGCCATATGGTTTTAGAATTCAGTTCAAGCAGTTGAGGGATTTATCAGGAATTGTAGTGTTTGTCCCATACAGCTTCAGCCTGTCCCCAAGTGAGCACTGGTCTCTGGTGCAGTTTTTTCCTTCTGTGAGTTATTGCAGGTCAAATGCAGCAACTGGGATTCAGGTTAGAGGGCAGGCTGGGAGAGGTTAGGGGCAAGTGGGGCAGTTAGTGGGTAATAATTATTATGAGGGATAAACGAGAAAAGGCATTATGGGGAGAGGGGGGGCAAAAATTTAGAAGTAATTTGCAGGAAGATGGAGACTGAGAACTGTAGATTTTCATCGGGGTCTCTGATTCCCTCGTCTGACGCTTGGGGGCCACTGTTGATCTGTACAATGTCCTAGAGCCAAAGGAGCTGCAAGACAGATTTATTTCTCCGTCTGCACCATCTGTGTGTGAAACAGAGCCACAATGTGGTGGGACAGGGGAAAGACACTCAGCTGGGAAAGCTGGAAAGTGGTTCAACTTTCTGCTTTAGCAGAAAGATCATTTTCTTTTGGGGAGGCTCGGAGTCCTTGCAGTTCTGCTCTAAGTCCCGCAGAACAAAGGAGCCTGTGAGCACCATGATGGAGCAAAACAGATCTCTGTGTGCTTGGGGGAGGCCACAGACTCGATTTTCAGTTGTTCTGGAGTGAGTCGTGGTGTTTGAAAACTGGCTGGTGAGAACAACCCATCTGGCGTGTTAGTGGAACAATGTGACTGGTGCAGTTTGTAGCGTGGGGAATGTGGGTGGGAAGGGGAGGCTTGAGCAGGTGGACAGGAATGCTAAGAATGCATAATTAAATAGGCAAATATTTATATGAATAACGGAATCTGTAAAATCTGCCAGCATCCCGAGACTCAGCTGAAACGTTATTTCTGTCACCATTAGCAAACGGCTGAATTCAAGAGGCAGAAAACTAGCCCTGAATGTGGGGTGTCAGCTCAGGGAAAGGTGCTGTGTCCTGGTCATCCTGCGGTGGCTGCGGAGGCAGCAGCGCTGCCGGCCCGCGGGCCGGCCCGTCGGCACA